GCATTGATCCAAGCAACTGACATTGCTGCTATGTCAACAAATTACATGCCAATTCAGAGATTTTTCAAAAGTTATGAGTATTACAGTAGCATTGCCAATACATATCAAAGAAGCAATAGTTCAACAAGAACTCAACAAAAAAAGCATTGACAATGTCTTCAAAAAATAGCCATTTGACCCAAGGACGATCCTTTAGTTTTCTTCAAGAATCACCTACAAGTGTCATAAACCAAGAAATAGAAGTTACAATCACATCTACAGCTCTTCTTTTACAGTTTTAATGTTAGAAAATAAATAAAAGCTAAGTTAACCAAATGATAAAGATAAGATAAAAAGATTACCAGGTTTATTGGCCAAGCAACAGCTACTCCAATTGCATCTCCAATCTTGAGAAAATTATGGTATGGCCTCATTAGCTCTTCATCATTCTCCACAGGCACATTCACATGAATTTCACACCAATGTGATCCCAAAGGTATGTCACCAACTTCAGCAGTTGGATCCAAATTTCTAACCACACCAACAGCACAAATTTCTTGTGGGGAAAGTGCCACAAAACCTTGTGGGGAACCTTTCTTTTTTCACCAGTAGGATCATCCTTTGTTCCTTCCCACCGTAGATGCTTACAAGTGTCACATTTTATCTTTGATTCATCTTTTCCCCAATACAATGTGCAATCATTAGGACATGCATCATATTTTTCGTATCCAAGTCCTAGTTCTTTCATTGTTTTTTTTGCTTCATAATAAGAATTGGGTAGATTTACACCTTCTGGGAGTGCTTGCCTCAACAAATCAAGAAGTGTATTAAATACAGAATCGGGCATTTTGCTGAGACATTTAATATGTAACAAGCGGACCAGAAAAGATAGTTTAGAGAATTGCGGGCAATCTGGATAAAGGGGCTGCTTCGAATCATTTATTAAATTGTAGAATTTTTCTGCCTCAATATTCGGCTGTTCTGGTTCTAATCTTTCTCCCACATCTAGGTTCTGGTTTAGAACTCCTACTGCATCTTGTAACAACCCCTGCATATCATCTATGGGATTGAGTGGTGGAACTTCATTTGATGAGCCATGTGAAGATGTATGATGCAAATTCGAAGATAGCTCTCCATGAGCTAACCATTGAGTATATCCCTTAATAAATCCTTTCCATATCAAGTGTGATTTGGCCTGCTCTCTCGTGACAAATACCCCATTCCCACACCTAATGCATGGGCATAAAATCATCTCCCCTATACTTCCATTTGTAAATGCAAAATCAAGAAAATCTTCTAAACCAGCTTTATACTCATCACTTGATCGTGACATACTCATCCATCTTTTATCCATGTTCACATAGATTCTAATTATAAAAAAAAAAAAAAGCTTCATTAGCATCTACAAGATAGTTCTACCTAAACTATTACTGATTTTTGCATAAAATATTTACTTAGATAAGAAAACTAATTTCAATGAGATTAATAGAAGACACAAATCACTCACGAAATATCTTCTAAAGTAAAGATACCAAAAGTATCAAAACAGAATGTTAGCACCAATCCAAGTGTTCTAGACATATCAGAACAGAATCTTCACATATCCAGGTGTTCTAGACATTTGAGTAATAAGAACTAATCCAAAAGTATCAAAACAGAATAATATCAAAAGGAAAGACGGCAAAAGTTCAATTCCAGATTGTAACACACAAACTATAAAACATATGGTAGGTACAAAAGAACTTTTCTTAACTCCCTCCAAACTAGAAACTTTTTAAGAAGTACCTGGATCAATTTCTCAACTCCCTCCAATCTATCAACAGTGTATTGCCCAGAGAACTGCAAACCAAAAAATTATTTGGGCAGTAAATACATATATCAAAGAACCAAATAACAATACTCTGACATAAACTAGCTTACCTGATTTGATATGGAAGGCTGGTAACCCTTCACAGGAGTGTTGAAACCTAAGTTTGGCACATTAACTGAAGTACTGGTATTTTCTTGCAACTTCTATAGGAAGAAAATGAAAAAGATCAATTGAAAGAACCATCAGAAACCAAAAAAATGTTTCATAATCATGCCTAATGGCATGTGAGATATGCAAACATTTGAAGCCTATCTCATAAAAACTTGGATTAATACCATTAATACCCGTAACCTGGTATTGTAGCAGTGCACGTATAAACAATCAGCAAAGTGGTTTGCAATCTCATTATACTTAGTGACAGGCCTGAACTTACAAAAAAGGAAAGCTAATCTTCCAATTCAAAAACTGAAAAAAATGAAACTTGGAAGAAATAGAGTGAACAACTACAATTCATTTGCGCACTTGCCATGCTATAACATGCTCCTACTGAATCTTCACCCAGGCATATTAATCAATACAGGGTAAACGGACATTTGTATACGTGCAGTAAAAGTGTCTTATATATACCTACCATATGGCCTAAAAATTTTACCCTTTCACCACCTCACACTCCATGCTAAAGTGAAACTGTTAATAATTAGAAATAAAATTTAAAAAGTGACTCCTTAGAATCCTCACTGCTATTAGTACAATCTTATAATTGAGTTTAACGAGTTATTAGTTCTCAAAAGGTAGCCTATGAGATTGGAAATGAGTAAATTCAAAATGATACATTTCATGATTTTTTTTTTCAAAACAGTGATACCATTCCAACTGGATGATTCTGGTACTAGGTAAGTGGGGTTTCCCCACAACAAATATTATGTGGGCAAAACAAGACACACTGAAAAACTCTGTTAATTCTGCCATATTGCGTCCGCCACATACTAGAGCCCAATTTAGAGACCCTGTTGACTGCCTGGTTAGGCATGAGTGAGCAAGAGAGGGAGGTGAAGGATCCTATAATTGAGGCCATGGCTGGATCAAGAGAGAAAAATGGATCTGAAGAGAGGAAAAGAAGGAAGGAAAATTGGGAAAGGAACGAAGTAGCGGAGAGCACGAAGAGTGTGTATTGTTTACTTTGAGCCCCTTCAGCATAGATCAATCTCTCAATTAATTGCTTTTTTTTTTCTAATTTCAGTGAGTTGAAGGATCAAAAAATTTCGAAACAAAATTTTTTCCTTTCTTAAGCAGAAAAGGACTACATGCATTCTTAGTTAAAATAAACATATCCTTCAACAGTATCCTGACATGAGGAATGCCTTTTGTTGCCTTTTCATTCGGAAGCAAAAGCAAATATTTGTGGGAGGAAAAATTCCAAGTCATACAACCTGTGTCAAAGAAGAAGACAGCAAACAGGTGATCTGTGTAAGAGCAACGCACTGGCAGAAGGGATTTAGATGTTTACAGTACATTGGAATCAATGTTTCCTTCCAAATGAGGAGAAGTGTGTGGGTTTTGAAGCATGATGTGAAAGATGGGTGATGAAATTCTCGGGGAAGTTTCCAACGGCAGAACCAGCAGAACAGAACTGTAAAATCCATAGTAATGAAGGACAGGGATTCACTTGACAGGTGTTATTGCTGCCAAAAGTCATTTTGTGGTCGGAGATGTACACATTAGCAAATGGTAGGAAGAGGAGATTTTGCAAAATGAAAGCAAGTGGTTGGTGGTTACATTCATCACAATAATCTTATTAACTATAAAGGTTGCACCACAAGGACAGCTATAAAGGTTGTCACATGGAATTTGAATCTTCCTTTTTATTCTGTTCTTTTTTTTTTGGGTCAGTTTGATTAATTCATCCATAACATCCCCTTTTATTCATCCCCAATTAACCCAATTTCACATACGCTGCTGTTGCAGAATTAGTATTACTCACAATTCAAGGTAAAAGCACTCATTTACAAAATTTAGATTCCGTCTTACCTGAATTTTCCTTATGCAAGAAAGGAACAGCAATATCAGAAGTAAAAGCATCCTAGATACAAAATTTAGTTGTCAAATGGAGCAGCTAGACATCGGATGCTGTCCTTCAAAATGAGGAATCATTTGGATCTTTAAGACAAATTCAAAAAAGCTACCATCTTAAGTTTTACTGTATGACACTATGTCTAAGTACTCTTGGAGAGCTGTTATGCTTCTTTGCAACAGAAAAAACATAAACAAAAGATAAGAAACCAGAAAACCTGAAAATCACCATAACTGAAGAAACCGTCGCTTACCAACTCCACAATGCAGAACGATATCAGAAAATTTCCGAATAAACATACGAAATAGTGTATCAGACGAATTGAAAGGCCAGTTTTGTTTCCCTACAATTTTCCCATCCACATCTACTCTTCCTGCCATTTCGTCTTCCCCAAATCCTTAACCCTCTGTCACCCACCTTGCTCCTACCCCATTTCCCATGCGTTCCCGGAGAAGAAATAAAGTAATAAAAAAAAAGCTATCAATTTTGTTGCAAATGTATAGGTTACCTGGTAGTAATCTTCCTTCAGATGGCAATTTTCAACGAACACCGTAGCTCCACTGTTGCTAAAAACCCAGATACCAATTCCCGTTCAAACTCCATGCTAAAAACTCCATGATGTTGTTGATTAAGCTACCTTCTTAAAGGTTTACCTGTTTGTCTTCAAATTGGAGAGAGTTAAAAATCGGGTGGAAGAAAGAGAAAGAAACAAGGGATTCGGTGGTGAGAGGGGCGAAGGATTTAGGTTTTTTACAGAGAGTTTATTTGATTGAGGGTTTTAGGAGAGAGCACTCGGATGAAAAAAGAGTAAAGTACATTGGATTCATTGGAGTAGTTAGAATATTTCCCCCAAAAAAATGGCGCCGAAGTGTAGCGCCATTCTCTTTGCCGTTTTTGTTTTTCATTTTTTACTTCTATTTGGATAAGTTAGAGTGATACGATGTCGTACTGGTCATTTTCTTTGTCACTTTAATGACGTTCCTTACTGCATGTTACATTAACTTGCTGTTGTGACACTTTTAGGAAAATGTCATATTAAGTGTGTGACTAAAGGTGCTTTTTGTAGTAGTGTTGGTATGCTTGCAGAAATATTTAAGCTGCTCCAACGTACAACAACCAAGCATCTGACCCAAGAGCAAGAACAACCAATTAATGGCTTTCTTCTTTTAGGGAATGATGGGCTTAACGCAATTGTCTTGTTCACATAACTTGCAAGCTGGTAGAACCGGGTTCATCCAAACCCCAGGGGCTCTGTCATGCATGCCGCTTTTGTTCTCAGCAATGAAACTCCCAACTTCAATGAACTTTTCCGTCAAATCGTACTCCATCTCGTACCGCTTTTCGCATCTTTTGCATTGGACTTCCCCGCTGATCTTGAAGATTTGTTTTGATAACAAATAGTTGAGGCTGTAGACTGAGGCGCGACGGGTGGTGGCCCATGGGAACGGTGCAGGAACCGTTTCGCTCTTCCCTTCGTGTGGTGCTTGGGAAGGGTTTCGGCGGGGGCGAGCCGGGCGGGACTGACCAGCCGAGGCCGAGGAAGGTTCTTGACGATGAACTACTGCTCGCAGCGTGGGGAGTGATGATGTGTCAGGGAGAAGATGAGGCGACTGCGTCTGCTGAGGCATTGGCACGGGCGGCATGTAGAGAGGGTAGGATGGCGGCGGCGGCGGCTGGGGTATGAATGGCTGATGTTGTTGCATGGAGGGGGTGGCGGAAGTGGTGGTTGTTGGTGTATTGGGGAATGTTTTCGGGGCCTGATGGCTGCTGGGCGAAACGAAAGGGAAAGGGTTAAAAGATCATTGTCGTCATCTTCAACGAGGTGATCAGAAGAAGAGAATTTTCTTGGGATCTGAAATTCATGGTGGTTGTTGTTGTCGTTGGTTTTTCTCTTTCTGTTGATTTCTTGATTATCATTGGATATGTCTTTTTGGTTGTTGAGAAGAAAAATCATATATGGTCAAAGCATAAAAGGAAGAGCAACAGCTGCGGGAGGTTTATGCAGGGTATAAAGAAATGCCAGAGTGAATCTGACGAAGGGTTCAAGACAAAAGACAACAGGGAGGGTTTTCAGAGATGGATGGAAATTTGTAGTTGGTTGGGAGTGTAAGAGAGAGAAGTTGTAATTTGTACTGTAAGTAAAGAGATAGAGAGAGAGTTGAGAGATAAAGATAAAGACGAGCAAACAGACTATTAAACCTGCTTTCGAGAATTGGGAATTTTGTGTGTAATTTTATTTTGGTTAGACTTCTTTTTCGAATTCAAAATCGCAACGGATCTTTTGTCCCACACCCTGTGCCACTCTCTGTCCCACTTTTTATTATATTGCTATTTCTCCTTCATAAACATCATGTTTTAATTCCTTTTTGTTTCCTTAAGATCCAATAACTATTAATTGAGTAATACACAAAATTTAACAAACTCAAAAAATCAAAATGCATAAAAAATTAGATTTTTTATGAATTTTCTGCTATATTTTTTAATTTTTTATTATATATTACTTTTTTGAAGCTGTTGTATTTATTTTTTACTTAATTAATAGTTATTGGATCTTAAGGAAGCAAAAAGGAATTAAAACATGATGTTTATGAAGGAGAAATAGCAATATAATAAAAAGTGGGACAGAAAGTGGCACAGAGTGTGGGACAGAAGATCCGTTGCGATTCAAAATGTCCATCCGAATTCTTCATTTTTTGGGATAATTTCAGAAACATTCCTGAGGTTTTTAATATTATCACTTGGCGCCCTCGAATTTTAATTGAACATTTTGTAAAAATTGCAACTCGTTTAAAAATAATAAATAAAAACTTATGTTGGGAGATATTATATAATCTCATTCCAAATTTGCTCTTTTTCTTGTGGTCCCTTAATTGTCATAGTACAACAATTTTATCTCTTAATATTTATAAACTTGGTCGACGTAACTCTTTGATGAAAATTCGAAAAGTTGATAACGGGTCGAGAGACCCATTTTTTCTATCATCGGTTTGGATAAGAAATATTAAAGTATTTTAAATTTTAAATAATTTACAATACTTGTAAAAAAATAACTTTAAATATTTTTATTACATTGATAATAACTTTTTACACTAGTTTGAAAATGTTAAAACATCACAAACATGGTTATATATAAGTTTCACATCTTGGATTTTTCTAATTTTCAAATCATCGATTTGGGCAAAAAATTTTGAAAATTTAAAAAAAATAAACAAATTACAAATCTCCTTAAATTAGCTCAAAATATTTTACAATAAAGAAAATAATATTTTTTGTGAATTGCAAAAAACCTCAAATAAACTTTCAAAGCTGTGTTTTCAGACTCGGACCGGACTGCCGGTTCGACCGATCGAATTGGGAATCGGCCAAGTGTTCGGTCCAAGTCATGCTTCAAAACCGGGTAAGTAAAAACCCCGATCAAATCCGGTCAAAAACCGGATTTGACCGTGTTTGACCGGAAAAATCGGATTTTCCGGTTCAAACAGTTTTTTCAAAAAAAAAAAACTCAAACTTTTTTAATATTATGTTTTGACCCCTAAATTGTTAAAAATTATTAATATACCTCAAATATTTCATACTTTATCAATATTTTCTTAAAGTTTGGTATTATTTTTCAATTAAATCCATAATTTTAATTCTAAACTTGTTAATGCTCATTAAATAATATAAATTGTTACTTGATTGTTCTAATTTCTTTGTATTTTCTTGTTAAATATATTTAAAATATCAAATATATATATGAATATACCTTTATTAATATAAACATGTTATTAGATATTTTACATATAATATTTTAATTTTTAAATAAATTTTATTTATGACATCATCCGGTTCAACCCCTATCGAACTCGATTGAATCCATTGACCTCTGACCCCTGAGATTGACCGAGTCGATATCCGGTCCGGTTTTGAAAACATAGTTTCAAACATGAAGTCTTTGTTTTTTCAAAACATACTATATTTTGCCCCATCATATTTAAATCTTCATGCCTTGTACTAAAAAATAAGACAACAAAAGAACAAGATTGAGTTGAGATTATACTCTCTCTCTCTCGAGATATGCTTTTTTAATGTTATATTTTGAAGCATGTTGCAAATGTTATAAAAAGTTTAAAGTGAACGAAACACACGTACGTGATAGCTTTCAAGTGGCAAGTGATATTGTCGAAAATTTGCAGGAATTTTGTGTTCACACTTCACGTTGTCATGCACTACAAATCTCGCAGAAAATGGCTGGGACGATGTTTGAACAAACTAGTGTTCAATAACAATTACCCGCTGTTGGACGCGGGCATGGTCCTGCGCCACTCATTATTGATGAGTTGAATTGAGGATTATGCAAGGAAAAGATTAAAAAAAAGAAAAGAAATGGAAACGATCAACATCAACTTCTTGTGATTATCTGGACTTAATTACATACGATCGAACAATTTCATTTGACAGGGTAATAATAAAGGAAATGTATGAGTCCGGGTCCTAAAACAACCATAGTCATGTTTCACAATTAATTTCATCCATTTAAATTCAAGCTACCTTTGGTAATTGGACGACCAAATCAAGAAGATGCTCCCATACAGAACTTATTAATAAAAAGGCCTGTCTAACAAGTGTCCATAAGATAGGGTTTAAGTGTTAATATTTTTTAAAAAAAATAATGTCATAAGTGTATATTAATTGGTGGATTAGATGGTAAATTAAGTACGACATAAGCGTATTAGCGAGTGTCTAATGAATTACGAAGTACTCTTAAGAATTTAACCATATTAGTTGGTGGATTATTGTAACCAAAACATCATGAGTTCATAATTGCCACGGGAGTATTCCCGCATCAGCTTTCATTCAGCCTTTAAAAATAAAAAAAATAGGACAAACGTCAAAAGAATATTCAATTCATTCTTCGTTCTTTTTGATCTCCTATCAACGATTAAAATTTTTTTAAAAATAGACAAATGAATATGGCTACTAAAATACCGGAAAAATCCATGATCATAAAAACTCTTGGAATCCCTACATGATAGAGTACACCTAAAATTCCACAAAGGTCGATTTCAATAGGAAATGCAGGGGACAGCCGCATTTTCTTGGTTAATGTGAGAATTTATATAGATGTTCATATCATTTGATAATGTACCAAAATTTTGACAACATAATATGCTTGTGCTTCATCCGACTTTACTACCGGCCGTCAAGTTCATTGAATTTGCTGCATTGAGAAGAGGGGCAAATTGATAACAATTATTTGGGCTGTCAACTTAGAAAATACATACGGGCCTCCACATCATTCCTCCCTTGAGCTCTCGGCATTTTAAATCCACTAAACAAATGATGGGTCTCAAAGGATTGGGTCCAAGCCTAGCGGCATAGGTTTCGGACCCATACTAGCCCGGTAACGTGAATGTGCGATGCGGGTATTATTATTTTTTACCTTCTTTAAAAAAATTTTTTTTTTTTTGGTTAGCAAATTTTTATTTTTAGGAGCGATGGAAGTCTCCCTTCGCAAAGGGCAGACTGAGCGGGCGGGGGGGGTCCCGGCTCGTTTCTTGGTTGGTTCGTTTTCTCGAATCTAGGCGTCTGAGTTCTTCGGTTGTTGGATTTCGTGACCTTACGTCACTCTCTCTATCCACTCTACATTATTGTTTCAAAATTACAAAAAAAAAATTATACATTATTGTTAGTTTAAGGAACGATTGAAGCACAAAGAAACGTAAATAACCGAAGTGGATGCCGCGGACGGAGTTTGTTTGGATAAGAGTTTATTTGAATGATTTATTTGAGATAATTACTGTAATATTTTTTGTGATGTGATGTATGCGAGATAAAAAGATGATTAGAAAGATGAAAGGGTGGTTGAAATTTATGAAATAAATTATTTTATTTCAAATGGGTATTAATTTTGGGGTTTTGGTGTTGGCCGGTTGGGTGGTTTTGTCGGTGGCGGTGTTCAGGTGGGTTCACCAGAGTCGTCGGAGAGTGGACCAAAAGTATTTTACTTACTAGTGCTAGTAAAAAGAGCTAATGACGGTGTATCGAGATTTTTCACCGGTAAATGCACCGCAGCTGCTCGAAAAAGGCAACGGTGCCGACTTTGTGTTTCTCGTTTCAATGCTTTGTTTGATTTGGATGGACGTTTTCGCCGCGTTAAATGTAAACTGGAATTTGGATGAAACTTGGAAATGCAACAATAATACTTAGTAGAGAGGAAGGAAATGGACTGAGTTAAAAAATATATATAACAGCTTTCTCCATTAACACATTTCTCTAAATCCTAACAGCTTTGTTTGGATTCTAAATTTTTTAGAGTTTTTATAAAAAAAATATAACAATAATGATGTGATGTATGTAAAATAAAAATTTATTAAAATAATTTTAATAAAAACTAACCATCTAAACCAGCAATAAATTTATCGATGCCATACGAATGCATGAATCACTCAAACGCAACATGTTCAAATCATTCAATTTCTCTCTTCAAAAGACTGGGAAATCCAGGTAAAATTTCAAACTCGTCGCGGTCATAATAATTAGATTTTTGCTACCCTCGTGCGCTCGATTGATTATTCAATTCTAAACGATATTCATCTAGAAACTTTCTTAATTCATGCTCTTCAAAATTATTAAGCTTGACAAAGTTCAGCACAAAACGGGTTGTGTTTGTTCCCAACGCCCATACTTTTATTATTTCTACTCAAAAAATGCCAAAAAAAAATAGAGGAGGAGAAGCGTAACATATTTTCCAACCTTTCTCGTGATTGCATGACATATTTTCATTTTTTTTTTAGTTTTACTTAAACAGTATGCCACAAATTCTGTTTGACCATTTGATTTAGGAACATTGGGCTTTCTTGCTGGTAAAAGGTGAACAATGTACAAACTTTTGAAGTGGCATGTTTGAATGCGTGTGAATAAAGCCGGATGGAGGTAGGAGGCACGAAAAGCATTTCATTATATATACTAGTGTATACTCCCAAAGTCCACAGACTTGGCTTGTAATTGTCGCCCTTCAAAATTCGACCATGAATAAAAAATCACGTGTCCGTGTGCGTGTGGAGGTGGTGAAGTGAGGCGTTGTCGGCAATCTGAGGCTGGTCAAATTTGGACG